CGCCGGGGCTGTACCGTTGCCGTCTGGTTTTTGAACGGCTCTCGCGCGGCGCGGCGTTCGCTTCGTACTACTTATCGGTACCAGCTCCGGGGCATATTCAACCGAACCTAGAATCTGCTTGCCACTCATTCACTCTTCGATCCGTTGTTATCGCCGTGAGCGGGGCCGGAGATACCTTGTGAATCGACTCTGCAATTTCCATCGGCTAACGGAGGGGAGCCTGTGTTATTCATTACGCACGGTGGTTCAGGCACGTGAAACTTTCTGTGGCTCTGTGACTATGCGTGGAATATTTGTTACAATGTTGAATCGGACCTAGATCGTCCGTTTAGCGTATCCTCGGTTGAGGATTAAGTTCCGTATAACTGAAGTTCTTGTAAGTTGGTTTATCGCGATGTATCACTTCGTAGTTGGAAGTAGTTTGTGAAACGTGTGAACGGAGTTTTGAATACGAGTGATGCACACAGATATCGAAGTGAAAATAGCACTTTTACCCTTTTTTATTACTGGATTCTTCGGAAAGTTCATGGCGTTTTTAAGAGTTACAATCTAAATTTTTCAATTCAAATCATGCTCGTATTTACTACTTCTCTTACAGTTTCTGTTCATTTCTAAATTCATTTGATTGTATCTGTTTTTAGATATTTTAGGCAATGTTTTGTTAATCGGGTGGACGCTGTAAAATTTTCCAGTGGGTGTAGTGGAATTTTTTGTAAATTGGAGGACACTACAAAGTTTCTAAGTTTTCCAAACGATCCAATAAATACAATTGTTGAATCTAATCTAACAGTTTACCAAAAAAAAAAAGGTATCATTTTTATGCAGACAGTGTTAATCGTCTAATATCATCAGTTATTTTGAATGTGATCGCAGCTACTTCGATAAGTCTTCAATCGAACGCAGTCGTTTCTGTGCTGTACTTTGTTTGCCGGTTCCCTTGTATCCAGAGCACGCCGGCTAATGTATTCCAAAGGCAATCATTGCGGTGCCTTGTTGTATGTAAATCGCCGCTCTTGGCGGAGATAGATTGTCCGAGACGATTTACTTCGTCGTCGTCGTCGTCGTCGTCCTTTCAAAATAGATTTTCGTTCGACCGAATTCGCCACGGTGTATCCGTTTTAAGGGTACGCGTTAAGGAAACGATTAATTTGAAAGTGAAATGCGCTCGAGTTGCGCCGGGATCGGAACCAATAGCGAGCTCCTCGACGTAGGAAAAATGGTTTACGGAAGGTTCGAATGTACTTACGTCGAGTCACTTGATTATACGAGAACCGCGTACACGACGAGGGGGGGAAGAAAACAAAAATGGCGGGAATATCGAGTCGAGTTGCAGCACTTTCCAATCGGAAAAAGCTAGTTGAAAGTCCGACGAAAAACGCTGGAAGCAGTAGGATAGATGAAGAAGTAAAGGCAATTTCCGTGTAGAACTAACATCCCATCATCGCGGCTATATTGTTAGACCCGCTACACGTGCTCAGCCGGTCCCCTGTACTCACTCAAGTTTTTGCAGTCGGGACGCAATCATGTCGACTCCGCTTTCCAATTGCACCGTTACCGAGCAACACACTGCCTCGTGGCCAGGACAGGTCAGACCCTCTCGAAGTCACCGAAGAATCTTAGTGGAATAAGATGAAAATTGTATAATATCAACAGGCGTGGCAGAGGTGATCGTAATCTTAACTCCTTAACACGTTGATTGCCACAGTGAAAAAGGCCGTACGTAGTTAAACATATTTTATTCCGTTTTTTAAGTCGTCAATCATCGAAAATATATGCGTTTACTTAATAGAGGCTATTACTGTTGTTTTAAATGATACTGAGATATTAACTTTATGCAAAAATTTTATAACTGTATAAGGGATGGTCCGAATACAGGCTAGGCTCTAAATATAGGTACTAATCCTAGCGGGAATAGTGTGAAACTATGATTCAAGAACAAAAGCTTATTTTATGACAAAGCAAACATGTTTTAGATATATGAAAGTGTTACATCTTAAAAATCTTTAAATTGTTTCACAATAAATTCTGAAGTAAAAGTGCTAGCCCAAATTTAGGCCATTTTCTCTATTTAAATAACCCAGCTCCTTTGCAAATATTAATGAAACTATCACGTGGTTGATTCATAAATATAAGTCGGTGAAGGATACACCACGAGCGTTCAAGCCCCGAAGCTATATCACAGAATAATAATAAAACAACTGCTTCTTGAGCCGATGAAAAATAAACTACATCCTTTTGTACGACCTCGTACACTCGTGACATGTTCCGTCCAACTTTCCCACAGAAGAATCAAAAGCGGCCGACAGGGCCACGAATGAACCGTCAATAAAACCTCGAACGACCGAAACACGTTACACTTGTAACGCTGTATACACCGGTCGATAAGATCGCTAAACGGCCGACACACGTGTAACACAATGGTCGCCGCCACGTAACACGCCGCGATAACATTCGTCAGTCTCTTCGTGGGTTAATTTCATAAAGCACACACCCAGTGACCGTGGTTCGACGACACGGAACGTTGGGACCACGGTGAACAGAGTGATGGTCGGCTTTTATGATCCGGCGCATAAATCCCACCGCGTTGGAGAGATAAGTGAGTCGTCCGCCTTCCAAATACCGCGTATCGTCGATCTTCCCCTTACATAAAGTGCCAGGATACCGTAGCCGAGCGTGGAAGACCTAGCTCGTGCGGTAATGGATCTCACTCGCAACCTAATTCAATCTAATCGTTTAGCGGGACGTCAACGTGTGCACGCTCGTGACAAGAAACTTTGAAGGATGCACGAGAGACGCGAGACGGTAAGATCCGAGATCGTCGCGCCGTAACTCGCGGAATTACTAATTCGAGGAATCCCTTGTATCAGGGAATTTCTGATGCCTGCCAGATCGAACGTTGAGGTGCGTGGATCTCACATTCTGGGGAACTGAAGGATCTCGGTTGTAATAAAGGAAATCAGTTGGTCTGATTTTCAAACGATGTGTAACCTACTTTTTATACTGGACATTCAAAATTACGCATGCTTACCATTGAAAGCAAATGACAAGGGTTCGATTTACGGTTTGGTGTATGATCAGTTGGATTTCTTTATCTCCTACACTAATGGATGCTGATTCTACTGATTCTGCATTTAACATTAAAACTGTTATAAAATTTTTGCGTAGAAGTAATACCGCAGTATACTTTCAAACAAGACCAACAGTCTCTGTTAACTTAATGCATATATTTTCTTAATAATAGAAATAAAGCATGTCTGGCTACGCACTGCCCTTTTCACAATAACAGTCAGCTGTTAGTAAGGTACAATAAGTGTAACTCACCTATGCACGCTAATATTACGTACTCTAGATGGAGTTATGTGAAATAATCTATGAACGGAAATTTGCATGACGAATTTAAAATGGAAATAAAATACCTCGTATCGAAAGCTCTCGCAGCGATCTATTTTGAATACATTTATGAAATTGACCGACGGAAGTTTCTCACGAGTAAATAATGAACACTACCAAAGATAATGAGTCGCGATCGAAGGCCTACATCTTTCGATTCGGTACACGGATAATGTAGTACCTGTTCTTCGTGGTACACGCACGCAGCATCGACCGCGGCGACGTTTCCGTAATCAGTTTTGACTGACAGATCTCGGCGTACCTTGGCGTGGTTGTAATCGACCCGTGGAAAGTTTTCGTACCCGATGGCTCGAGGAACCGTCGCGAGTCCGCGAACGTGTATGTGATATTCCCTAGCTATTTTACGCGTGTTCTGTTTGTTGAACTGGAACCGTACGTGTCGCCCGGTTGATCTCCAGTTCTCCACTCATGCTTAAAATTATCCAATTTCTCTATTATCCGTTGTGCCTACATACGTGCGTGCACGGGAACAGTTATTATTGGCCACACCTTGCCACAAGGAAATATTTTAACGATCCCACCCGGTCTGTCCACTTAAGGCCCGAATAATAGTGATCGTGCATCATCGTTTATTGCCTTCTTTTGCGTACGGTGCAGGTACGCACTGTTACGTTGTTTCGTGATCCGGCACGCTAACGGACCGCGGCGGTATCAATCATCTGTGTTCCTCGTGTCGGAACGTTTGACGCTTGTACAGCGTTGACAACGGAGCATGTTGTCCGTTATCAGGAATTTATTCTATTTCTCTGTGCATAGAACGAAAAGCTGTATCATCAATCGGAAGAAACTTTCACGTAAATCTGGGAATGCGATATATGTCGAATTTTCCGATTGCTGAGAATATGGTAAAACGGTATCGAAGTGTAGAGGAAAAGTGGAAGTGTACAGTCATACGTCAGCCTCGGTGATGTTAGTTATTAGTTCATTTTGAGTGTGATTCGGAGGAAGCAGTAAATGATTATTTAGTAGATGATTATAAATGGAAGAATATAGACAGGGAATAGTGAACAGTGGTTGTAAATAGTAAGTACTAAGAAAGAGTGGGTTTGTATCGATGAAAACAAAATAACGATGAGAATTCTGTAATGTGCTTGTAAATAATTAGGTGACTATATTAGGTATAATTTAAGAACACACCCGTATTGATGATAATCCAGACTGTTACCGATAACATTGCTTAGGCAAATTCGAAAGTTGATAATGGTTGATTACAAACAATATACGCGTAGTCGCACGCATCTAATCTTGATCCATATTAATAACCTCTTTTACATTCATTCGTGATAATCAATACTGATTAGATCCGAGCTACGGATTTGGACTAAATTTATGACCTGTTTGTCGCTATTACCCTAGGATTATCAACCGATAATCATCGCAGTTTCTTCATCTTGTCTAATCGATACATTTTTTAGCTGACTTATTTAAATAACTTATCTCGTTCATCGTGTTTTTTCAATACTTTCTGATAGAAAATTCTGGAACCTCACGACATTAAGATACCTATCGCCTCTCGTGTGATTTCTGTTCGAAGAAAACAAGTGCAAAGCAGAATATCTTAATTAGAATTTGTTTCAAGATAACAATCGTTTTTATGTAGAAATCATAATTTATTGCGTAAGTTATGTACAATTTACTGATACTCGTAACACATACCGCCGTTAAGTCAGCACACTTCCACTTTTACCAACGTAAAAATAATAGAAGGCGGCACAAACGATTGATACGAATACATTTCTTCGGCGTTGCTTACTAACAAGAGTATCATGCACATAATTTCTTCAAACTTTTATACTTTTGATTGTTCTTATACAGAGTTCTCCCTATTCACGAGCAGATCTGCTGACATTTTTGCAGATTCTCGAAATTGTTCGCGTTTCCGCTGCAACCTCCGTACTTGAATTCCTCGCACTGATTCGTATTTGGATTGTAACCGTACCTCGGTATCATCGCTCTGCATGGACCATGCTCCAATGGAAGCAGACACTCTGTAAAGTGGTCCGTAGTTGTTACCGAGAGAAAGATACAAAGAAAATTAATCTAACTAACCCTTTGAAATCTATTTCGAGAAGTCGAGGAAACTGATACGTTCTATGTTTTTATTCGTTAGATTAAGTACTAGAGCAACATTTAATGCTAAAAACATTTAAAAGATACTGGAAATACAGTAATTAATAGTTAATTCGCCGGAAATGACTATTTTCTGTCAGTGTTTGAACTTTACAGTTTAAGTAAGGAATAACCTTACCAAATGATTACGTGTGACTATTATTATGTATCAGTAACAAGGTCTCCATTAGAATTACACTTGCTCGTGCTAGACACGTTAAGTGTAAAATAAATACTCGAATAGTACACAAAAATTGATTCGTTTTACTCTGGCACATATATAGATTATGACTTGTTCACAGAATCTGATAAAACAGTACCCTAATATGTTATCATGAGTCATATCAGGATAATACTTAACTATACGTATAATTGAATATATAGATTCACGATATATTTTTAAATAAAGACAAAATAAACGTATTATAGGCCACAATAAGAAGTTAAAATTATATTACGCTTCATTTGTAATTAAAAATAACGCTCGTTGAAGTTGTACTTATAAATGTTCAACTTTCTTTTTTCCTATACTTTTAAAACTTTTTCCTTTTTTTAATTCTCTACTTTATGTACTACTTTTATGTAATAATATAATTACGTACGTGGTCCTATTTCAGCAGATACTTGGTAGATCACCGCACAACACACGACGACCAAGAACAACGCGAAGATTTTTCCGTTCATTTTACAGATTCGTAATATTCACGATTCGTAACTTTAACTATTATGGTAGTTCAAGTTATTGAACACTGCTTATATAGATCGCATGAGGCTTGGTAGGGGACTTTCATGAAGATAAACGAACGATATAGCGCTTAATTGTATTATCGCTATACGTATTTACTTAACTCACACGGGCACGCGTTCAGCGTACATTAATTTCTTATAACAGAACCAGGAAAATATGGTTTAATGAACATAATTGCGATTATAATCCTAAAGTATTATACTTCGATCCTTTTACGTTATTGACGCAACGTTTTGTTCGTCGTACGACAATCGCGATGACGCTGAACGATCTTATGACTCACACAAATAGATAAGATAGTTTTCTATTCTTCTAATTACTAACACCAATAACCTTTTGAATTTTACGCAGTGCAGGCAGCAATACTTCAGTATCGACTCAATGGATATGAAATTTCCATAGCAGTTGATAAATTTAATTTCTCGAAATATTTTTAAAGAGTACTCTTTTTGTATCTAGTAAATGTAGCAAAATTTATTTCAATCGGAAAAAAATTAAAGTGGTATTGTAATTGAATATTGTGTTTCGTTTATCATTGATTGATTGTATTTTTTGTTGAGAATCCACGATTAATAACTCGAAAATTGCAGTTTATTTATGGTTTGATCAATTCTACTGCATCGAACGAAGTTTCAATTACTGTCAATATACTTTGTACACTTTGAACTTAATGTAAACGGTGAGCGACGTAATATATTTAATTTAACAAGTCTTACATACATTTCTGACAGAATGTCAGCGATAAATACATAATGTTTCGACTTAGTTTAACATTAAACATCGTTTCGAATAATTAATTTCAACATTTGCTATCACGACTGCAACGTGAACGAAAGAAACGATGTGCTCTGAACCACATCAACAATTCAAGGAATTTTATTTGCGTACCATATATTCCGCATGTTATTAGACTTTGATGTAGAATAATGCAAACTTAGCGATCTACTCGTTTTTGATGCACCACAAATTTCTGTGCAGCTGTCGTTCATATTTGTTGATAACAGAATTTTTCTACTATATTAGAGTCAAGGCAGATGTTTTGCTTCTGCATGCCGATATCTAGATTCCGTGAACTATTTATGTTGCATCACGAGTTTGTTATGCAATCAGTCATACTACGCAAACACATACAGTCAAACTGCAATATAAAAATAAAGAACATAATAACGACATATAGCTCAACCAGAATTTAATTTCGCTCTACCTAGTACGACTAAAATGAGTAAAATAATAAGTTTGTTTCAAATACTTTCATTACAAATTTATCCAAAATATATTATGATATTTATCACAGATGAAACGAGAGTGCTCACGCTCGGGAATTCGATGTCCCCGAGTATGTGTGCTGCGCCAAGCGGCCAATTACGGCATAACAGTAGGAATTTACCCGTTCTGGTTCCACCCTAGCATAAACAAGAACCTACAGTAGCCGCTCGATAATTGATCATCTTGGATCTGTAGAGGGCCAAATTCCCCGGAAATGATCAATTAACGAGCGTTAATTACCCGCGCACTTTCCCCAACAGTCGCCCCTTGAGCTAATCGCAGGTATACGTCAAAAACGAGGTTGTACGGAATTCTAATATCGTACTAACTATTCTATTTCGCTAAAATAGAAATTGGAGTGGGGCAGGAAGGGGAGCTACACTCACCCTCCGATCCACCAATCACGATCCCTATCAACCAACCTTTACCAACCTTTTACAATTAGCCTCGTTACAATCAACTTACATCTTAATACGCTCGCGCCGAACACACACACACACATACAATAACTTAAATTAATTGCAACGCAGAAACATACGTCCAAACGAAGGGGAATATCGGAACGGTGTTACCACTCATAGCGTCGTTCACGCACCGAATACCAAGCTATTATTAAGTGTAAACTACAGTAGATATATATGAACAAACTTTGTGATAAGTGTACTCAATGAGCATATGTAATGTAATTAAAAATTTATATCGTCTTGTATTGCAGAAATGACTATCAACAGAGATTTTAAATGTTAATAAACAATCAAAGAAAAAAAATATATATATATATGACTGTACGAACATGTAAATTGAGAACAAAATATAAAGAGTTCGCGATTCAAAACGTGCCTTCAAAAACTGGCTACAACAAAGCCCCCTAAAATCCCCCCTGGCTATTATACTCTATGTAGCTACGCCAGACAAAGGCAAAACGACTTAAACTTAGTACGCTCGCAACGAACACACGCACACACACACACACATAACAACTTAAATTAATCGCAACGCAGAAACATACGTTCAAACGAAGGGGCTTATCGGAATAGAGTTACCACTCATCATATCGTTCACACCCCGAATACCAAGCTATTATTAAGTGTAAACTACAGTAGATATATATGAAAATACTATGTTATAAGTTTACTGAATGAGCATATGTAATGTAATTAAAATATTATATCATCTTGTATTGCAGAAATGAATCCCAACGGGGATTTTAAATATTAATAAAAAATCAAATAAATATATATGTATATATTTATGAACATGTGACTGTATGAATGTGTAAACTGAGAGCAAAATGTAAAGAATATGCGATTCAAAACGTGCCTTCAAAAACCTGGTTACAAAAACCCCTTAAATCCCCCCTGGCTATTTGGTGAATGACTCGACCGATTAAAGCCCAAGCGACCAACCAAAGCGTATGCCGGAGCCAATAATGGACATCCGATCTGCGATGGGAGAAGCTGAGACCGTAACCGTCTCCGCTGTAGGGCACCAATCTCCCGAGAGGCGATTAACAGATGTGGCACGATTATCTTTCAATCCAAATATACTTCTGCAGCTACACCAGGGAAGGCAAAACGCGACCGATGTCTGAATTCTCCGGAGAATCGAGAGGGATCGGTAAACAGCCTTAGTATACCTACACGCCTTAGCGCCGTATACTAAGTCCGTGTAAAGAAATCGCGATCAAAGTGAACTAATAATAGCTTGTTCGCAGCCATTGGCTAGGTATATTTATCGAATACCGATTGCCCAGGTCTCACCACGTGGAGGTTGCTGCGAATGGAGACCCGAGGAAGATGGACGGAATCACAAGTTCAACGTCTATCAACCTTTTACAATTAGTCTCGTTAGAATCAACTTAAATATTAGGACGCTCGCGCCGAACACACACACACACACACACATACAATAACTTGAATTAATCGCAACGCAGAAACATACGTCCAAACGAAGGGGATTATAGAAACGGTGTTACCACTCATAGTGTCGTTCACGCACCGAATACCAAGCTATTATTAAGTGTAAACTACAGTAGATATATATGAACAAACTTTGTAATAAGTGTACTCAATGAGCATATGTAATGTAATGAAAAATTTATATCATCTTGTATTTCAGAAATGACTATCAACAGAGATTTTAAATGTTAATAAAAAATCAAAGAAAAAAAAATATATATATGAATATGTGACTGTACGAACATGTAAACTGAGAACAAAATATAAAGAGTTCGCGATTCAAAACGTGCCTTCAAAAACTGGCTACAAAAAAGCCCCCTAAAATCCCCCCTGGCTATTATACTGTATGTAGCTACGCCAGACAAAGGCAAAACGACTTAAACTTAGTACGCTCCCAACGAACACACGCACACACACACACATAACAACTTAAATTAATCGCAACGCAGAAACATACGTTCAAACGAAGGGGCTTATCGGAAAAGAGTTACCACTCATCATATCGTTCACACCCCGAATACCAAGCTATTATTAAGTGTAAAGTACAGTAGATATATATGAAAATACTATGTTATAAGTTTAATCAATGAGCATATGTAATGTAATTAAGATATTATATCATCTTGTATTCCAGAAATGAATCCCAACGGGGATTTTAAATGTTAATAAAAAAACAAACAGAAAAAGAAAAATATATATATACATATATGAACATGTGACTATGAAAGTGTAAACTGAGAGCAAAATGTAAAGAATATGCGATTCA